GGGTTTAGGTCATAAAAAGCAAGGATAACAACAGCAGATGTTTGGGTGTTCTCTTGTTTGCAGTTTCCTCGCTGCCTCCCATATGTGGCCCCTGGTTTGTAATAACTGCTACAGTGGGTGTTTTTGAGACACGATAATGTTTTGTGGAAACAAATCACTTGCTTTCATCTCGAGAGCAACAGTGATTGCACTGGGGGAGTGTGCTCTATTTTTCATGTCTCAGTCTTCCTTATTATTTAAATTAATGTGAGTTGCAGTTGTCATGAAAGTGAAGGATTGATGGCAATTAACAGGCTTGGTGCGAGCAGGTTCTGCATAAACCTGTCCTACCTAGCTCTGTCACTGCATCTTGCCTGGGACTAGAATTCCCACACCAGCTCTGCCTTTGCACTCCTCCTGCCCTGCAGGCCTCCCCAGCTTTCCCAGCTTAGGGCATCCTGCAGCATCTCTGCCCTTTCCCCACTCCTGCCTTGCAGGTCCCCTGCTCTTCTAATGCATGATTCACAAGGAAAATGGCTATTGGTTACTTTGGGGGTTGTTTTTTACTGTCAGTGACATGTAAGATGAGATGCTGAGCTAGCATCAGGCTTGTCCTGTAGATGTGAAATGTAGAAGAAACAAATAAGTGAGTTTCGAGCCATTCTTCTCTGAGCTCATTTCCATTGCTCCAGAATCTGACCCTGGCATAGATAGGGCACCCTGCTTCCCCAGGGATGCTGCAATGGGGTACCAACTGTGCTTCCCTTCACACTGATCTCTGCTCCTCACCTCACCCAGGTGGATCCTAAGCACAGGGTAATGAATACCCCATATTACATTTATTCTGAAAGGGCAGAAAAATCCTGGTGATTTTTCTTTCCCATCAGTACCAGAGAGCCTGGCAATGCTTTGCCATGGTCTGTGGAGACAGAAGGGTCCAGCAGCAGCCTGGAAACCCCTGGAGGGACAAGTTGTTAGGCTGAATATGAGAACACCTGAAAGCTCTGTTTAGCTGCAGTGCTTCCCCTTCTGTTGTTCTGCTGTGTTTTTGCCTCTGTTAATAGTTCAGAGAGGACAGACACAGAAGGGTTTTCCAGTTGAGAGTCAAGAAATGGCTGAAAAAAGGAGGCTGCAGCACCCAGAAGATCCTGGTCCCAGGAGGTTTTATTCTCAGCAATCCTTCTTCCAGCAGCCTGGGAGCTGTGAAAACATGACAGAGCCCACACATGGGAAAAATAATAAGGTCAAAGCTTCTCATTTTAAGATTGTCCTAAAAAGGTGTGTGCAAAGTAATGACAAGTGCCAAGGAGGCAATGCTAACTGTTGCTGGTGCTGACAGTTGTGGCATTTTAACACGCTGGCTTGACACCCTGAAAATTAAAAGTCTCTGACTTTTTAGCTGAGTGAAATTACTGTCCACTAAGATCCAGTCATTGTTAATGCTAACTGGCTTTGGATTCGAAGAAGACAAAGCCAAATTTCATATATTCATAGGGAAATTATTTCCTGTCCTGTGCCCCCTCCTCAGTCCTTCCTTGCCCTCTGACTAAGGTGGCAGCTGAAGAGAGCCAGCCATTATATTCATAACAGGATTTCAGCCTTGGATGACCTTTTCTCCCTCATCTGAAAAAGTGGCAAGCCAGATATGACCATCTGGACACATGCTTCTTCTCTTGGGGTTTTGGTCAGCATGGTCAGATCTGTTTGTATTTGCCAAGTTGACTTGATCCTCTGTGAACTAAAATGACTTGACAGCTTTGGGAAGTCCAAGGTACACATGTCCTAACTGCAGCTCTGCTGCCAGTGCCCCATAGTGGCTTTCACTGCTCTCTCCTCAACCATTTTGACTGACATTGCACCATTCTGCTAGGTCCTCAGACTGCCCTACAGCTCCATCTGCTAGTCTTGCTTGAGCTTAGTCTTTCTTGGTTTGGTGTGTGGCTTTTTTTTCATAATGCAAATGCTAACCCCTTGAGGTTAAGATGAAGTCCCCAAAATGTGGTCTAGACACTGGTTTTACTCCTAGGCTCTGCTTACCCTTGCTTGCCAGCACACCATGGAGAAGCTGTGCTGAGGATGCTCCAAAATCATGGTCCTTGTGTCCCCTGACATTGCATCTATGACACATCACAGCAGCTTCCATTGCTCCTTCCCAGACTAAGCCACTCTGTCTCCTCCTGTGTGTGTTGGTCTCAGATCTGAAACATGGTATGTACTACAGGTAGCTGTGCTGCTACAGGACTGAAGTGGCTGTTGGAATCGCTTTGTTCCCTTAGGATTAGTGGTTTGGATTTCTGCACCAGAACTTGCAGGGCTCTCCCAGCCTACAGCTTTGCTGTTTGGAGCAACGGGTCTGTCTGTCCTGAGCCGTGAGACAGGGGACTTCCCTTACCCTATGGGACAGAAAAGAGAAGGAAAAGTGCTGCTGAGTCCTGTCAAATCAGTGCTGAGACGGATCTCAGCGTGATGCTGCAAGCTGCCTCTCTGCTTTTGTATCCACGAAACCCAAGTGTCTCTTGGAGGCACGGTATTTCATTTCCCAAGTGGGGTAATTCCTTTCTGCTGCCCTTTATGCACTCTCAGTGTATTGGTTAGCAAAGGTGTTTGCTTACTTTCCAAGACCACTTCTTTTGTACTGCCAGGCATTTGCTGTGCAGAACAGGTGTGTGCTAAAGGGGGAGGAGGCGCGAACTGGATCTGTAGTTAGTAAAACCCTCATGTACCTCTCGATATGGTGGGATCAAATTCTTTGACAATATCAGCGTTCTCCAAGAATGCTTATTTAGTTTTGTTCTGATGCCTCCTACCTCTTCCTACGTGCGCAGACACAGTGCCGGTGGCTTGCAGTGAATCACCAATGTGCAATGTTTCGGGGCTTGCATTTGTCAGGGGATTTTGCTTCGAGAGGAGAGGGTTGATTTTCTGCTATGTTTTGTTTTACCCACTATTGTGCTGCCAGGGAGGTGTCCCTGCTCTGAAAATCCTTCTCTCCAGGGAACAGGAACATTCTCTCCAGCTGCAGTCAGCCATTCCCCCAGCCTTGCTTTGGTTGCTTCACCATGAGCTCATCAGCCATCAATTCTAATTCTTGAGTAGCACTTTCTGAGGTGGAAAATTTCTGATCTAAATCTACCCTCTTCTACTGTAAAGTCACTACATGTCCTTGCAAAAAGTTCCTCCCAGCATTCCTGTAGCCCCCTTTAGGTAATAGCAGGTTGCCCTTCCAGTCTCCCTGGTCTCCTTCTCCCCAGAAGGTCTCCTTTAAGCCTTCCCTTCTCCAGGCTGAACAACTCTCTCAGCCTGTCTTCATAGCAGAGCTGCTCCAGCCCTCTGATCATCTGTGTGGCTTTTCTTTGGACTCACTCCAACGAGTCCACATCTTTCTTAAGTTGGAGGTCCTAGAGCTGAGTGCATGTGTGGTCTCATGAAAGAAGGATAAATATAATCACTTCCCTCCACTTATGGGGCAACGCTCTTGCTAATACAACTCAGGATGCTCAATCTTTGCTGCAGGGGCATACTGCAAACTCATACTGAATCCCCAAATATCATGGACTGCTTGAGCCCAGCACTTTCACCCTACCAGCAAATATCAGGGTGGTTGAAGGCCCTCACAGGGACTGTGATTGTGAGGCTTCTTCTGTCAGCCTAAAGCAGTCTTTGTCCACTGCCTCTGCTTAATCAAATGGTGGGTACCAGCCAACAGGGGTGACTTCCTTTTGCTAGCTCACTGACCAGAGCTGGGTTCCTCCAGGTGGGCTTCATGGTCATAGATGCTGAAACGTTATCCATGAGTCTGGGGGCTAAAGATCTGTGGGTTGTAAAGAATATTCCTATGAATCCAGCAACACAGCTGGAACAGATGAGTTGCTGTCTTTAGGCTTTATTTCATTTTCCCCACCTAGCTCGTAGGCAGCTTTGCCTCAAAAGGACCATCAGCCTCTCTTGCCAAAGAGGGGGAAGGGGAGGCTGCTGTCTGTTTACTCTGTGGTAAGCAAAGCAGAAAATGATGTTGTTTCATTCCTCACTACACACAAATTCGGAAGCTGAAAATATATTATAAAAAAAAAAATAAATTAGAAGATTCCCTTTTATCAAACTCCCTCACCACATCCAGGGTGTGAAGTGTGGAAGCAAGGCATGGATGTGAGAGAGGACAGACTGCAACAGCCTGCTCTTCTTGGAGGCTGATGCACTACCATGCTCCATACCTGGAGGTACTTGTTCAAGTCCCATTGCATTGTTTTGGTCCCATGACACAAATTCACTTGGAAAGTCTTTAAGGATCCTGAGTGCCCAAGCCGTGGCTGGTCCTGTGGATCTTTAAAGGCTCTATCATGCATTTGCACCGTGTGAGGTGCTTGCTGCAGGCAGTCCATGGGGGATCTCTTTTGGCTGAAAGATGTTGCAGAAACACTCCCACTGTCACCATTGTGCCTTCCCTCAGCAAATTCCCATTACCCATGGTGTGTGTTCCTAGTTCTCACCTTGTCACAGCAGTGAAATGAGCTTAAAAGCTCCCCAGTTCAATGCCCAGTGAGCATTTGGTTGCATGATCAGCAGAGCAGCATCGTGGCTAACAGCATGAGTTCTGTCAGCCAATGGGAGGGAGCAATAACTAATACAGCTTCTGCATCAGTGTACAGCACGCTGCAGGAGGATGTGGAACTGTGTCTGGGGCTGTTTGGAGTGTAAAATTAGCTGGGACAGTGCTTGGAGCCTGCTGATTCCTCCCATGCAGCCTCGGGGTAGTTCTTAGAAGTTATTTGATGAAGACCCCCAAACCTGCCCAAACAGAAATCATTGCAGTTGCAGCAAAGGCTATTTCTACCTGCAGATCCTTGAAGCAGTGATACATATTATTCTGATTTAAGTTCAGAAACCCAGGTAGTAATGAGGAGTGCAGCCTGTGAGAGGAATCTGTGGCTGCCTCTGCTTAATAGGTAGGTAGGTTAATGAGTTGGACAGCCTGCCATCCAGAAGTCTGACTAACAAGGTCCAACTTCCTTTTGTCTTCACAGTTCCACCAAAGATCTCCAATATCTCCTCGGACATCATTGTGAATGAAGGCAGCAACGTAACCCTGGTTTGCATGGCAAATGGGCGTCCTGAACCTGTCATCACCTGGAGGCACCTCACCCCAACAGGTAAGAGACCCAACCGGACTCAGCTGTGTGGGTGATTTGTGAACTGTTCAGTAGTTTCCTTCTCTTCCAACATCAACAGGAAATTGCAGTAGCAATACAGGCAGCTGTAAGAAAAGTAGTAAGAATCCTAAATGCACTGCAAGCTTGTTTTGCAGTGTAGTTTCCCAGGCACAATAACTAGGTTGCCTGAGGGAACAAATTAAATTACTTCAGTAGATACTCTACAGAATTGGACCCGTAATTCTATTTAGTTTTGGTCTTCATCTAGTTGTCCCAGTCTCTACTGCTGGAAATGCAGCACACAGTGGTTTAGACAAAACACTGCTGGTGCCGGAGAGAAGGGAAAGGTTTTCTATTTAGATGTTACACAAAGAGGTTCTTTCTGAAAAGCACGGAATTTGCTTCCCACTGATCTGCCTTAAAAGAGAGAGGCAAACAGCGGCACAGATTATTTCATAGTACTGTCCATTTTGGCTGACAGTCTTTCTGTGTCTTGTGAGGCAAGAAGGCATTTGATCTGCAAGAGGGGTGAGGAGCAGGGTGGAGACAGAATAAAAAAGAACTCACCAGCTTTGTTCTGCTATCTAACTGTGCTTTCCATGCTCAGGGATGTGGCAAGCTTGGAAGGAGAATATCCTTTCAGTAGTCAGGCTCTATGGGGTGGTTAGCACCTTGAGTTGCAAGGAAACCTTCGCTCCCTAAAGATTTATCACTAGGATGGGAACAAGAGCTATGTTTCCCTTCCTCTGTGTCATGTCCTTTGAGAAGAGACGAACTCTTGATCTGATTTCTTTTGCTGTCAGATACTCTTTCATTTAAATTGTGTGGGGAAAGCATTGATTAGCTCCATATGAATAGTCTTCTACGATATTCCCATACATGTAAAGGGTTAAAGGCTGTTCAAGGTAAGCATAGTACAAGCTTTCTGCATGTGCTATAGAAAGTCAAACTATCTGCTGCTGTTCAGCAGACATAAAAGGGGATAGCATTGCAGAAAGCAGGTTGGAGAGAGAAAGAGAAAATGCCACATTGCAGAAGAGCTCAATCCAGGTGCTGCATCCAGAGGATGCATTTGGGGCCTATGGTTCAGATTGTGTTACTCAGATTTCCTGTCTCATCCCTTCAGTATAGCCAGTAAGCCAGATGCGTGTTTGTATGATACACGGTTTATATTTCCAGCCCATTGCTAGCAATACCAAAAGAAGGAAGGTGGGGAAAGACTGCCAAGAAGAGGTGGGAGGAGTAGAGCTGATGAGGGAGCACTAGTCCTTTGTGGTATCAGCATCACTACCTGATATTCTTCTTCTGCTGTTTTCAGTATTAAGTATGACTGTTCCCTTTGCATATGTAGGGAAATAGAACCTACTTTTTTTACCTTTAATTATGTATATAGAATTTTCTAGCTCTGGCATTTATGCTCATGAAATTTATTTCATATAAGATCTTCCATCTTACTTCTGTGTCAGTCTTTCACTCCTGCATCTAACACTTTCTCGTACTCAAGTAAGAGATTCTCCCTAGCTATTCCATGAGCACAGCCTAACATTGACCAAGTTAAGGGCATGACAAGGATACCTGCTTAAATCCCAATGAAAACTAAGGCCTGGAACACATGAGATGTGTTGTTCAGAGCAGCAATAATAAGATTCTGTCCTGACTCATCACTGTGGCTGCATGTTTGTGCGTTGTGGTTTTTATGCAGCTGTACCACCTACTCCATTGTATCAGACACAGACATTTTTCTCCCTTTCAAAAAGGCTCCTCAGCCAGAACGATGGTTTGCTCTATCCCTGTTTAGTGAGAAACAGGACTGAGGAATTCCATTCCTGCTTTGATTCCAGGGTCAGTTCTCCTGGGTCTGGTTTTCACTTTTGCATCGTGCCCCTTCACATCTTTCCTCCTGTGCTGAGTGTCTCAGAGGGGTTGCCTTCTTAGCATCCCTCAGCACCATCTCACTGACTCCCTTCCAATCCTCTCAGAGCTCCTGTTACACTGAAGCCTGCTAAGCATCCCCTTCACAATCAGCTAGAGCCAGGGATGAAGGGCAGGCAGCCCAGTCTGTCACCTCCAGGTCTCACTGCTTATTGTTCTCTTTCTTCCCACCTCAACCCATCTGCTATATTTTACAGGTATAGAGAAACTGCTTTCAGGCACACATCAAGTCTTTTGAGCAGCAGGTAGCCCAATAAGGTACTTTTCCCAGAAAGGGGACAGAAGGGTTTCTTTGGAATGTTTTACTTGAGGTTGACAATTAATACAGATTCCAAACCTATTCCACAGCTGCTGCGGTTAGAAACACATCTTATCTTGGAATCCCTTCTCCAGAACTGTAAGGCATTTGGCTCCATTTATGCTAGTTTTGAAGACATCGTGCTATGTATCAAAAGAACTATTTTAGATCATAGTAAAGCTTTCTAAAATATATCTCTCTCCTTGGATTTTTTTCACAGTAAAATTCATGACCACAGAATGAGGAGGATGAGCATTACTGAACTTGTGTAGGAGGTTTTGAATGGACAGGTTGTGAAATTAAACCAGCACTGGGGGGGGTGAGAGGGCCAAATCACTTTTTCCTTGTGCACTCTCTTCAAGGAGTTCATTAGTGAATTGTCTGCTGCTTCTTTCACTCATTGGCTTTGTCAATAGTGTTCGGCTAATTACCTGAGTTAGGACCACAGAAACGATTTATTTCTTATTGCCTAAGAAGACACAAATGTAAAGGGAAAGCAGTGTTGCTCCTTATGCAAAGAAGGCAGGGATGCATGTGATAACTCATTTAAATGTTTCTGGGTCTCAGGAGCGATCATAGCTCACTCACCTGCCTATCTGGGAAGTTAAAACTTTTGATTTATATAATGCTGTATCGTTTCCTTTGCTGGTCCTTCAGTGAACAGTTGAAGTAGGCATTTTTCTCACACCAACTCTAAGTCCCCAAGTCCTGAAGCAACCCATAGATAAAACCCCTCTCCTTACCCTGTGAGAGAAATCCTTGCTTTCCACTTCCAATCCTCTTCAGATGACTGACTAGGTTTTGAGCAGGTGGAGGGAGTCAATCAGACCTTTTCCTTTCTTATCCAACATGCTGTAGGACATCGGTAACCTGGTCTGACTAGTTGTGGATAGTTCAACAGGCATTGCCTAATGTGCTCAAACAGCTTCATTAGCTCTCCTCCTCAAGCCATCAGTGACTACAGCAGCCTTTGTACTGGATTTGTTAGAAAAGTGGTTTGTTCCGTGTGAGCAGGACCAAGTATTGATGACTTTCTATATAGACTACATGAGTTAGCTATTGTCAGCTCTAGAAATACTTCACATGGGGATATGCTATAGTCTCGTATCTCTTGAAAGGGACAGACCCAGATTGTCCCCTCTCTGACTTTGTACAAAGAGTAGGTGTTGTTCTGTTGTTTTCCTCTCCTTGATATTAACTCATAACCCAAATGATCCATGTCCACAAAGGTATAGATTATTTTTCCGTCACTGAAAGCAAATTTCCAGCAGTTGTGCCACAGCCTGGACAAGGTCCCAGTACAGGGCCATGTATTATGAATGTTAACACATTCTGTGTGGACTACCAGAGACAGTCTACCCATCTCTGGTTTGTTATGTTAAGAGGTGCTCTGTTTTACCTGTACCATGCACCAAGGTAACAACTAACACAGCCAAGAATCCGGTAGGATGATTTGGAGATGGTAGGCACCTACTTTTGAGCTCATCTTAGTTTTACTTCACGTTTTCCTTGACTTAAGTTTATTCAGGCTAATGTGACTTCTCCCTACCCATAAGCTGATGAGATCACAGTCCAGAGTCTTTACCATTTATCATTCTCCATCTCCCCATCTTATTCAGAGCTATGCTAGATGCCTAGTTGACTGAAAAAGAGCTTCCTGGGAAAAATATATTAATGTATGCTCGTATTCTTATCAACAAACACCCTCTCATCAGAAGCCCTAAAGAGTAGCTTCTTGTGGATTGGGTTAGCAGCCATATGAATGTGAACAGTTATTGCAAGGTCTTTGCATTACCAGATATCTTGCTGCCAATCCTTTTGTCCTGGATGGGCAGACAAACACAGAAGAAAAAGGCAGTTCCTGTCCCAGGGTGCTTGTGCTCAAGCTAACAGGAACAGTCCTATTCATATTTCTGCTCCTTTCCCAAGAGGCATTGATGATTGAAACCCTCCTGAGGTCCTTGCTCGTGGGCACTCTGGCAAGTGTCATGAGATTGGTACCTGTGTGTGGTGGCAGTCTGAGAGCTGATGGCAGGGAGAATCCCTATGGGGTTCAGCTCAAGGTTGAACTGTTGAGGCTTTACTGGTTGTGCATAACCGGCTGGGGAGCAAACAATTTAGTTTCCTAAAGCATCTATGGAGTGTGAAAAATGCATGAAATCACCAAATATCTCATTCCTGATTCAGCTTCTCCAGCCTCAGCCCAGCAAGGCTGTTCAATAGAGAACAGTCTGGATTCTCCCAAATTCCATCTGACAGTCTGAAGATACCCACTTTGGCTCAGAAAGGGAGCTTAGTTATTACAGTGGTAATCACAGCATAAACACCATTCTAGAGCAAAGTAGATAAGTATTGATTGCAACACCCAAGTTTCATGTCACAGCATAAAATGAAAGGAGATGGGAAGGCTTGTCAAATACACCATTCTGATTCTCCCTAGAGGGTGTTAGAAATTCTTATTGAGTCTTAGAGAATGTACTATAGCCTGGGAGGTTTAGAAAGGATAGAGAATACAGAAGAGTGCCTGCATGCTCTGTGTAATTGAGCTGTTATACATATAATGTGTTTATAAACAGCTGTAGAACTCATTGCCATGAAAAGTTATTTAAAGACGAGAACTTGGCAAGACTCTTAACAGTTTGGGTGTTCCTGAGGATAATGTGACAAATCTGGATATTCTTGTTATTCATAACAAAAATATTGAAAAGGATGTTAAACTTCATGCTTTGGGGCTCAGTTACTTGAGTTGGGGATGAGACCTAAACTGAAA